TTTGGCCTAAATTAAGTTTAATTCGGGCCAAAATTCGAAATAACGCTCATGGGCGTTATTACGCGAAAATACGGTACTACTTTACTGAATATCTAGAATTAGAATTTCTAACTTAAATTAGATTTCAGAACGGTGTTTATTTTATATAAACCCTACCTAAATTCTAAGAAATTCCAAATTCACTTAAATCCTGTTCCCACTAGCAACGTATATTCTTAATAAAATCTGTAAAAAAAGTTATAATTTACCGCCAAATTTTTGCGCCATTACTATTTCACTCCCGAAATCTCATTTTACAGAAACTTATCAGACACATGATTAAATAGAATTTATATCAGAACTCTGATCAGCCGGTTTTTGTAGTGAAGTTCTGGTTTTTTTTTTAGAAATAAATACGATTATACGAAAACATACATTTAGCTAATCGTAATGTTGTACATGGGACGGTTGAGACAACTTGAGATAAAATTGTAACAGAATTGAGGTTTTAAAAAAATATCAATGGCACAATATTCATTAAGATAATCCATGATATATTATATACTACGATTATCGTTACTGTATGATTATTATATAATATGTAGTTGTTTAGTTGATAAATTTGTTGACAACTATAGTTGATAACTAACAATTAATCGTAATTGAACCAATTGATGATAAATCGATTAGTTATTTAAGTTTTATTGAACAGTTGGCAACTAGTTGATTTTCAATTGACAATTTATAATACTAGACCACGGGAAATTTTCGTTACATATACGTTTATAACCAATCGGCGTTCATTAAATTGACACCATCGACTCTAATATTTTAAAGTCATTTTGGATTGTAAATGTTTTAAATAGGAACAGAACTTAAATAGATTTGGTTTCTTAATAAAATTATAAATGTAAGGTAGAATTTATTTTATATAAACCCACACCTTAACTTTAAAATCCGTTCCCACTTACAACATATACAACTTAAAAAAAGTTAGAGGTAAACCGCGGTTAAAGGGTATAAAAATACAAATTTAATAGTAAAAATTATCAAAAGTTATTATAGTTTTTCTATAAGTTGGAATGCAGCTAACTTACAATGAAAAGTTTTTTATAGCTAAGTAAACCTTTCTTGAGTTCCTGACAAATATTATAAATAGTGGTAAAATTATTAAAATCGGTTTAGTAGATAGCGAGTTTCTCTTTTATGACTATATAATTTTTATATGTTAGGCATTCCAACATTATATGAAAGTAATAGTAATTCGCCGCTGATTGTTACTATGAAATTTATACCGTTCAACTGCGATTTACCACTTAATGTTAAGCATTATATCCATCGTACTATATATTATTTGAATTCCAAAATTTAATCAAAAGTGGGTCTATAATTTATTTTGTTTTTTTTTTAAAAAAAAACTGTGCCACCAGATTTTATGTACAAAGTAACGAAGATGCAAAATGACAGGATAAGAGGTGCGTTTACATGCAAATGTGAATAAGTGAAATTGATATATGAGACATGTATAAATGAATGCAATTATAAATAATCTTAGGTTATTACTATGCTAAAAATATAATGAATTTCATACAGTGTTATGTGATGAATTATACTAATGTTACAAAATTTAAAATTATAAAATGCCTTTAAAAATAAGATTATAGCACAGCACCAATGTTTCTATCCAATACTAAAGTACAAGAAGTATCATAGGATTAATTCTAGCCCAGTCAAGAATCACTAACTTAACTGGATTCTTTGGTTACATAATCATCTTCAATATTTACTATTGTTAAAGAATGATTTGAAGAGTTGTCCGCATCAACATAATCTGGTTGTATATTAACGTGCTGGACAGTTTTAGGCTTAAAAGAGTTATTATATTCATAAACATTTGAAGATGACTTCATTGAAGCAGCTCTTGAAATTGGGCCAAATGTTGACGTTTCATTTTGCTCGTCAAGTCTCTTATTATCATATTCATCAAGAGTTTCATAAATTCCTCTTGGAAACACATCTATTGCTTGATAAACTGGTGTAGGTTCTTCAATTGAACAATCATTATCATCTTGAATGATATTTGTAGTTAATCCATCAATCTTAATGTTAATACCACTTGTCATATCAATTTTGGCTTGTTCACTAGGAGTACGGTGACCGCCGAGAAATAATAAGTTACCAAAACCTTTTTTCGGTTTTGGACAAGTAGAAAGTTCAATTTTTGGGATAGTATCTTTTTCGTCACCGAAAGAATCGGATTGATGAGGAAAACGTTTTGGTGATTTAAATGGAGAGACTGGAATTGAAGACACCTGACCATTGCTTTGGTATGTAGAGTTTTGACTAACGAAAAATATATATATATAAAGAGATTAATAATCATAATCATTAATGAATTAATGAATCCGCGTTTTAATAATAAAATACTTACGAAGATTTTTGTGATTGACTACGCAAATCATCATAATCTTCTCTGAGAAATACAAAGATTCTATCCAATTTGATTACTCTAGCCCATCTTTTATAGGCAGATGAAGCATCTTGACCAGTGCCAAAGAATAAAAATACAAAAATTCCGACCAAAGGCTTCGCATAGTCGACAAAAGTTATACCGGAATCATATCTTTCAACTGTATTAAATACATAATGATAATCATCAAAACTAAAAGCAGTTTTGAACTCTAATATATTTTGAGATTTCGAAACGTTGTTAAAAAATGTCAAGAGTGATGCCGGAAATGCTAATATTAGATAGGTGATACAAAAGGACACGAGACGATAGAATCTTGCACTATTAAGACCAGATTCAGTACGCCTCAAAAGAGATTTGAGTTCAAGTCTTTTTTTCATGATTGAATAGGCTGTGCGTGCTAAAATAAAAAAAAAAAGAAATCAAATTATGAATTTTTCGACGCATATTTTCATATAAAAGATGGTCTTTTAATAATTTAATAATCTACGTACCTGCATAATAGCAACCAATACTAGCAATGATAACGGGCCATATTCCATATACCAAAAAAAACAAACCATTTATATAATCGACTGAGAAACATCCTAAAACAGGTCTAATCCCATATTTATGTACTTGAACCAAATAATTGACTCCCGTAAAAACTATAGGTGCCCCAATTATAAGGCCGAAATCTCTAATTGTTTGTCTTCTTTTAATTCGCTCAGTCACAATCGTAGGGCATGCGATGAGAGTGTAAAGATTATAAATCATACACGAAATAGAAGTCAACAGGCCAAAGTGTGCACCAACATATATTGGAGTAGAAATCAAACAATAAATATGAGCTTTATCATCTAGATCATCGGCCCAAAGTATAGAGTTTATACAAAGTATGGTGTTTGTTGCTATTGCCCAAAATATCATGAGAACTACACCCCAGTTCCGTGTTTGGATATAGAATATTCCTGGAATGATGCATAATAATATTGACAAGCCTGTTGCGGCAGTGAAAAAATAATCAGCCATCTTTAATAAAAATGCATACACGTGTGTAGAGGAGAGAAATGTACTGATGAGAGAATGAGTAATATAATTTTCTATCTGGATGGGAAAATAATACAGAGAAAAATATAGCAGGGATGGGAGGGATGGGAGGGAAGATGACTGCAAAGTATCCCGGATACTTATCAAGCTTATGTATAATTTATGTAGTTTATCTTCCTCTATTTAATGATTTTCTCCCAAAAAAGAAGAGAAATAATAAAATAAAATTTTACTAATTCAAGGGAGAAAAATAAAGGATCCAGCAGAAAAAAGAGAAAAAAAGTCTTTAAATTATTAAATTATACACATCCAAGCGACAAAGAAATTGCTATTGATTATAATTCGCTATGACAAAACTAACAAAGAAATGTGGAGTAGTTTATATGATTTTTTACGTAATTGAATACCCATATTTTATGAAATTAGTAATTTGCAGATTGATGAATAAAAAAAGTGTATGACGGCGCATTGTCAAAAGCACAATGGCCGTTTAACTACTCACGCATAAAAAAAAAAAAAAAAAAAAAAACTAGATCGTATCGCGCATGAGCATCTTGATTTGAATCTAGACAAAGGGTTTCCAAGAAAAGGGAACAAAAAAATTATCATTATGCCATTATGAATCAATTCTTAACGAATAAACATAAAGCTGATGTTTGATCATATTTGTAAATTTAATAATTTTGAAAACAAGGAACTTACCAAATTTGAATCATAGGGTCCAATAATTACCTTTTCTGTCAGTAACAAAGGCTATGGGTTCTGGTTTTTTAGTTGACGGAACGTATTCGTGTAACACATTGAATAAAGAGATTCCTTTTCCTGATCGGTGTGTACCCTCAATACATAAATGCGTATACGCACATGTTCGGCTTCACTTCCTGATTAAGACCTCAAATTATCTCACTTCATTAACTCTTTTTCCATAACTATATCAGTTTGAAATGCACAAGTTGCATAGAAGCGCATAGAAGCGCATAGAAGCCAAGATATTCTCAGCAACTTTAGATTATGCGCATTAGTTCTTACTTTATTATTTCTTCATGTATAGTCAAAAATGTTAAAATGTCAAACATAATATAAAAAATAAAATGTTGAAAAATTCGTACTCTTGTAAGAGAGTTTTATTATATTACCGATAACATATAAAATAAGCGAAAAATACTATAGACTACGATGATTATTGAGAATATAAAAAAAAAAATTTTTTTTAGAACAAGTGTCTCAAGATTATATTTCTTAATAAAGTTTCAAATAATTTATTCGCAAAATTTTTTATACAATAAAATTAACCATATTAAGTGTCTGCAATAAAGTTAAGCTGTCGCAACAGGCTTGTCAATATTATTATGCATCATTCCAGGAATATTCTATATCCAA